ATAATATCACTATATAAATCCTTGGTACACCTACACTTTGAATACTGCATGCAGTTCTGGTCGCCCCGTTGCAAAAAAAGAGATATTAGAAATGGAAAAGGTACAGAGAAAGGCAACAAGAATAATTAAGGGTATGAAGCAGTATCCATATGAAGAGAGATTCAAAAGACTGGGACTGTTCAGCTTGGAAAAGAGACGACTAAGGGGGGATATGACAGGGGGCTATATAATCATAAATGGGGTGGAGAAAGTGAATAAAGAAGCGTTGTTTACCCTTTCACATAACATAAGAACTAGAAAAGGAGTACTTGTGGCACCTTAGAGACTAACCAATTTATTTGAGCATAAGCTTTCGTGAGCTACAGCTCACTTCATCGGATGCATACTGTGGAAAATACAGGAGATGTTTTTATACACACAAACCATGAAAAAATGGGTGTTTATCACTACAAAAGGTTTTCTCTCCGCCCACCCCACTCTCCTGCTGGTAATAGCTTATCTAAAGTGATCACTCTCCTTACAATGTGTATGATAATCAAGGTGGGCCATTTCCAGCACAAATCCAGGGTTTAACAAGAATGGCCCACCTTGATTATCATACACATTGTAAGGAGAGTGATCACTTTAGATAAGCTATTACCAACAGGAGAGTGGGTTTGTGGGGGGGGGGGAGAAAACCTGGATTTGTGCTGGAAATGGCCCAACTTGATTATCATACACATTGTAAGGAGAGTGATCACTTTAGATAAGCTATTACCAGCAGGAGAGTGGGGTGGGGGGAGAGAAAACCTTTTGTAGTGATAAACACCCATTTTTTCATGGTTTGTGTGTATAAAAACATCTTCTGTATTTTCCACAGTATGCATCCGATGAAGTGAGCTGTAGCTCGCGAAAGCTTATGCTCAAATAAATTGGTTAGTCTCTAAGGTGCCACAAGTACTCCTTTCTTTTTGCGAATACAGACTAACACGGCTGTTACTCTGAAACCTGTCATAAGAACTAGGGATCACCCAATGAAATTAACAGGCTTTAAAACAGGTTTAAAACAAATTAACAGGTTTAAAACAAACAGAAGGAAGTATTTTTTCACACAACGTACAGTCAGCCTCTGGAACTCGTTGCTAAGGGATGTTATGAAAGCCAAAAGTATAAGTGGGCTATTAGCCAAGATGGTCAGGGATGCAACCCCATGTGCTGGGTGTCCTGAAGATTATGACTTTCATTCACTCCCAGCTTCTCTCCTCATCAATGTTTGCAACTCCTCCTCATTTGCTTTCATCATAGAATTTCATGAACATGCTTTTGACTTTTTCTTCCAGCTCATTAATATAGATGTTAAATATGAGTGATGGCTGCTAGCAGCAACCACAATGCAGCATTCAACCTGGGACAGAGAAGAATTCTTGTGAAGTGTTTTATCTCCCAGGACCACACCTGCTATATTCAGACCAATAAGCTGCTGTGCACAGAGGGTTCTTTTTTGCTGAGCTGCTTGACATTAAGGCTATGTCTACGCTAGCATTTTTGTCGGCAAAACTTTTGTCGGTTGGGATGTGAAAAAAACACCCCCCTGACCGACATAAGTTTAATCAACGAAAGTGCTGGTGTGGACACCGCTGTGTCGGCAAGAGAGCCCCTCCTGCCGACGTAGCTAACGCCGCTCGTTGGGGGTGCTTTAATTATGCCGGCAGGAGAGCTGTCTCCCGCCCGCAAAGAGCGGCTGCATGGGAGACCTTGCAGCAGCACAGCTGAAGTGGCATAGCTGTACTGCTGTAAGGTCCGTAGTGTAGACATAGCCTAAGTGCCCTTTAATTCGGGGTAAGAGGCTTTCCAGGTTTCCTAGATTCATTCCTGCCCTCTTCTCTCTGCTTCCTCCCTCGCTTCCCAGTGTTGCCGTGCACGTTAATCAGGAAAAGCCCAGTCAGTACTTGGAGGAGGGTCGCCGCAGAAAACCCCAGGTGCTACCCGGAGCAGTGAAGTTGGCGGAAATCCTCGCAGCGAGTCAGTACTGAATGACCAACTCCCAGAGAGTGCTGGGCTCCAGGAAGAGCCGTCTTGTGGCTGAGAGGTAAAACTGTGGCTCTGACCATTTAGGTCATTAAAGAGCCAATGATCATTAAAGCCTAGAGTTCTACCATTTATCTTGGCAAGCCCTGATCTGTAATACGGAGGCCCGGCCTGCACAAACTGCAGGTTTCATGATGCAAATCCAAGGGCTGCAAGGTTTTCCGGGCAGAGTCGGCTCCCACCTGCGGCACATGGAGTGCATGCAGCCAGTGGTTCCTCTTCTCCTCCCTACACTTGGAGGAGAGAATGTGGGAGGTTGCTCTGGGCTGTGTCATTCCCCAGCACTCCCAACCAGATTCACCCCCACCAAACCTCCCCATGCTCCTTCTTCCCCCTATAGCCCCCACACCCACCAGATCCTGCCAACATCTCGTTCTCCTCTGTATCCCTTTCACCTCCTTCCACCTCAGCCTCCCCAAAACCTTCCAGCTGCCTCTGGCCCTTTCCAACTCTGAGGGGTTGTGGGAGAGAACCTCCTTCTGCACCTTCTCACCCACCGTGGCTCTCAGTGCACTGAGGTAAAGGGAGTCAGGTGAGAAAAGTCACCTGTCAGGGCAATACTTGGCAGTTCCCTCCAGGATGATAAGCCTTGTTCCAGTGTTCCTCCCTTCTGGATGCCATCCCCTCCCCATCTCTCACCACCACCCCACTTCCATGCCTCTCCGTGCAGCCCCAGTTTTACTATTTCTTTCTTTAGACTGAAATAATAACAAAAAGACACTTCTACAGGAGACCTAGACACCCTGACCCTTGATTAATCTTACTACACCATGCATAGCACAGCCAGCAGCACTGAAAGGCCTTGCCTGTATTTCCATGCTACCAGTGCAAATGTTATTGCAATTCATTGTGTCTTTGTAGTCAAAGTCCATCAGGTTCCCCCTATGATGCCCCACAAACTTCATCTTCCATCCCCTAGGCACTGACTCCCTGAGTGCTCCAGGGCTCAAGCACCCACTGAAAAAAAAAGGGGTGCTCAGCACCCACAAGCCACAATGGGTTTTTTTTATGGAATAAATGTTATTAAAGATGTCCGGGATAGCTTAGTGGTTTGAGCATTGGCCCGCTAAACCCAGGTTTGTGAGTTCAATTCTTGAGGGGGCCATTTAGGGATCTGGGGCAAAAATTGGGGATTGGCCCTGCTTTGAGCAGGGGGTTGGACTAGATGATCTCCTGAGGTCCCTTCCAACCCTGATATTCTATGATTCTATGATTCCATTGGAAGTTACTTTGCCTTAAACCGACATTTTGCAATGGCACCAGTAGGTGCAGGAACACTTACATGGCACACAGTGAAACTGGAAGGCAGAATTACTAGACTAGTATTAGGGCAACCATATTTTCCCAAAGGAAAAACAGGACACAGCATGGGGACAGCTTGAGGCCTCCTGTCCCCCCATGCAACCACCCCCCAGCCCTGCCTCCTGCCATGAGGCTGGCAGGAGCCCCCCACCCCCACCCCACCCATGCACAGGGCCAGGCTGAGGTCCCCTGCCGCCTACCCATGCATGGGGCCGGCCTGAAGGCCCCCCCGGTACAGGACCAGCCCGAGCTCCCCTTTCCCCCCTGCCACGTGGGACCAGCCCAAGACCTCCCCTTCCCGTGTGCAGGGCCAGCCCAAGGCCCCCCTCTACCCACTGCACACGGGACCAGCCCAAGACCCGCTGACCCCACCCCCAAGCCACTCTCCAGAACTCTCACTCCTGCGCAGGGCTGGAGTTGTCCCTTGCCCCCAACCCCTGCACATTCCTCCGTGCCCCACTAGGGGTCGCACCCTACTTTTCTGGCAAACTGGGCAATTGTCCAAATCCCCAGTTTTGCCAATAAAGTCGGGACCGCTGGGACAGGGCTTAAAAAAGGGACTGTCCTGGCCGAGACAGGATGTATGGTTCCCCCTAACTAGCATTTAGCAATACACAGTTAGGTAATGGAAGTGAGTATGGCCAGGCTGAAAGATGGATACATTTGTGTTCAAAATCAACCGTGGAAAATCTTCAGGAACCTCATGTGGTTCAGCAAATACAAGAGAATCTGCCGCAACAGTCGGCGATCCGACCACTGAAACTGCTGCCCTTAGTTTTGATACCAGCGAGAGCAAACAAAACACAAAAGAAAAACGAGGCAAAGGAAACTACACCATGACATGTTCTTGGACATAGCTGTATAGAAAAATATAACAGTCTCCAGTGTCTTAAGGGAATGAACATTTGCGCATTATACTTTAAAAGTACTGAAAATTTATAAGAATCCTTCTCACTCTGCTTGTATCATCCTGCACTGTGGAACGCTCATTCTCCAAACTCAGAAGACTTAAAAATTATCTCCGGTCATCAATGGGACAAACGCGACTGAATAATGTAGCTGTCCTTAACGTGCATCAATACCCTACCAGGGAACTAGATGTAAATAAGATTGCTGACAGTTTCATCCAGAAAGCTACAGAGAGACGTAACGTCATTAAACTGTGATGCTAGTGAAGACAGCTTGTAGGTGAGTGCAATGATTTTAATATACTGTAATTCATGATAATGTAATTATATAGTTGGTTACTATTTTAATAATGTTAAATAGTTAAGATACCAATGATAGACTCATATTCAATAACTAGAATATGGAAGAAGTGTATAAATATGCTGAAAATAGCTTCCCCCCCAAAACTGGCAGAGCCCCCCCCACCTCTTCGAAAGCACCCATCCACAAAAACAAAAGTCAGACTCTCCAGAGTAAGAACTGTGTGGACAGCAGCATGTCCCATGCTGCTTCCCAGCCCGTCCTGCCCTCATCCCTCCAGAGGGAAGCAGGTGCTTCCTGCCTCTAGATGTCACTCTCCACTATCTTTTCTTTCTCTCCTTCTATTTTTCTTTCTCCAAGATCCTGCAATTTTTTTTTTAAATTCCTTTCTGATCTCTTTCCGGCCATGTGCGATTGCAGTTTCCTCTGGGCGTCCATTTCACCAGCCTGAAATTAATCAGCAGAGAGAGGGAGAGAGAGAAAAGGGGGGAGAACCCCCCCCTTGTCATCTTGATCCCCAAGCAGAAGCAGAGCAGCAGCCCCCAGGAATTCACACCAATACTCCCTCGCCAGGATCTGCAGGCGGAGAGGAGAACTGCAACCCCCGGGCTCCCTAACTGTGATCTGCTGGAGCAGGGGGAACCCCACATCCTCCAGATTCCCTGCCAGAAATCTAGTGGACCAACCCCTCTTCATTCCTCCCCAGGATCCGCAGGAAAAGCCATCAGGAGACCGCCTGTCCCTCCTCCACTCCAGCCCTCCCCACCCCCAGTTTGGAGGAGGTTGCTCCTTGCTGGCTGAGGGGGAATTCTCTGGATCTGGCTGGACAGCCTTTTTTACTTTGCACCATCTGGGCTTCTTTCCTCCATCTCTTCCACAGCTGACAGTAAAACCCAGCCTCGCAGAGCTCTACAAGGGGCTTTTCCTCCATGCCACCCTGCAGCACCAACAGCTCCAGCTCCCATGCGTGGATTGTGTGGGTTTTGTGTGTGTAAAGGGGCTGCTGTAATTTCAGCCTCCTGGACCTGCCCTGGTTGGATTATTTTTATAGCTCTGATTTGAAAAGCAGCCATCAAGCCTTCCTGCCTGCCTGATCTTTGACTGCTGCAGCTGCAGCTGTATTATAGCAGGGAAGCCTCATTCCTGGGTTGCAGAGAGAGAAGGTTGCAGGATCCTTCAATCCCACCCCCTTCCTCTTTCCACAGCTCTGAGGAGAGTCCTGGCTCTTTGCAGCATATGTGGTGGAAGCCAGCACTAGGAGCCACTGCAGCAAAGGAAGCACTTGTCTCGGGTGATTTGGGGGAAAGGAATTGAAAATAAGAGGGTAGATTTTGTTTCTGCGGGTCTTGGCTTCATTTCCCAAAGGCTCGTTCCTTTCATGCATGACACAGATCCTGCTCTGTGATTCCTTCAGGCGATGGCCATGCAGTAAAGATGTCAGTGTACAGGGTGAACAGTGTCAATGGGTTTTTGGAGGACTCCAGGATGGAGGTTGGGGACATGGGGAGGATCCTCAGGAGTTTGGAAATTGGGACCGTGCTGACCTTGTTCTACCAAAAAAAGTCCCAGAGGCCAGAGAGGAGGACGTTTCAGGTGAAGCTGGAGACCAGGCAGATCATTTGGAGCCGGACGCCTGAGAAAGTGGAAGGAGACAGTGAGTATATTCCGCATCGCGGCATGAACCAAGAAAATGTCTGTCTCTAAAGCTGACAAATGCCTCTCACTAGGGGAGCTGGGCTTGGTGCAGCTCAGTCCAAGATTCCAGGAAAATCCAAGCTGACTGCACTGGCTTGTAAATCTCTGTGGGGAGGCAGCCTGGCCTAGTGGATTGGGAACCTAGGAACTCCCCTATTCTAGTTCTGGCTGGGCTCTGCCAGTGACTTGCTGCATGGCTGTCGGCAAGTCTCTAGATCTGAGCCTGTAAAATGGGATGGTGGCTGTTGAGAGGGTTCACGGGTTAACCTTAGTAAAGCTCTTTGAAAAGTGCTATTCGTCTGTTATGTTTTATCCATCGCTGTGGTGATGGCGGTTTAATGATCGGTCGCAGCACCTTTCTTCTAAGGAATGGTACTAACTGTGCTGGAGGTTTCAACCATGTGCCCAGGGATCGTTTCGCTAGCCACAGAGAAGCAGCAACCTCTGGAGCGGAATGTGGCATCTGTTTCGCCGCAACAGTCAGTGAAGAAGAATGCAGCATGGAAGTGCAGGGGGATTTAGATCAGGAGCATGTAGTTACTTGCGCAGGGAGGTGGCCAGGACACCAGGATTAACACTTCCTCCCCTGATAAAAAGCACCAGGAGATCATTAATAATCACAAATGGTCATGACCTTTGTTTACGTTGCACCCTAAAGAGGTCTCATCCAGCAGCCCTCTGTCTCCCAGCACCACCCCGGGGTGCTGGTTCTGTGCTGGGGAAGAGCACCACCTATTCCACCAGCAACACACCGCTTCCTGCAGCCGCCCGAGTCTGTCCTGTGGAGGTTTTCCACCCACGCTGTGACCGAGCCCAGCCCTGTTTAGAATCATAGAATCACTGAAGGTCAGGGTTGGAAGAGACCTCAGGAGGTCATCTAGTCCAACCCCCTGCTTGAAGCAGGACCAGTCCCCAGTTCTTGCCCCAGATCCCTAAATGGCCCCCTCAAGGATTGAACTCACAACCCTGGGTTTAGCAGGCCAATGCTCAAACCACTGAGCTATCCCTCCCCCCATTGTTTAGCACATTGTGCCTGAGCAGATGACAGCGTGAAGGGAGTGGGCTCCTCTTTCCACCTGCCTCCCATTTATTTTTTCAATAAGTTCCCAGCAATTATCATGCTGTTGTCTCTCTTGTCTCACTCAGCCACCACAATCCCCATCCTCTCCCTTGGCAGCTCCGCACTCTTACAGCCTGCAGAGCACATGCGGCCACTCTGTTATCTCTTCCTTTCTGATTGCCCTTGGCGTCCCTGCTGCAGTTCCCCTGACGATAATGGAGTTGACAGGGGTGAGCGGGTGGTGTTTTCCTGCTTTGCCTCATTTATGCCCTTCCCTGTGCTTTAACCCATCCTTCTTCTTTCTAGTCCCTTCCACTCTGCTTGCTTGGTGGGGGGATACTCTCAGCTCAGCAGGGGCGGATTCACTCTCGTAGTGCGTGTTACTGCTAAGGGGAATTGTGTGGCTCCTGCCAGAAGATAATACGTGTTCATCTGCCTCCCGTGTGTTGCTTACTCAGGGTCTACTTCATCAGCGGCAGAAGAGGGAGGTATTGTCCCTCTGTCATGCTTTAAATGGCCAATCCCATCCCTTATTCTTGAGAAGTGGTTGCAGCCAGCCATGATTTTACACAGGAAACCAGCACATGGTTATGGAGATAACACTAACCCTCCACAGGGAAAGCCCCACTGAGTATGGAGTCCCTTTAACGTGCAGTTATCCTCTGAAAAGTGGCTGTGGAAGAATGATCCCTCCTTACGCAGCAGATCTGCTCCCCCTGGGTATATCAAAGGCAGAGCTACTTGCTTTAGTGACAAAAATTAAGTGTTTACTACTTTTACTCCTATCAGCCCTTTAGACCCAACACAGCTCTGGGAGAGGGAGCTGGAGTCATGCATCATCAACAGGATTGTTTACGTTTCAGTTGCAGGGTCAAGTGTGCATCTTCGTTGCTTTCATATCCTGCCCTTAGTTATATCTTTACAACCCTATTGCCTTCAATGGGGTTGCAGAGGTATAACTGAAGGCATAATTTGAAAACAGTGAAATTACACAGGTGTGAGGACAAAATTTAGCCTGAAGGCTATCACTACTGATGATGCATGAACCAAAAAGAACCCAGCTTGACACTCAGATCCCAGGACAGTAGATAGAAAAACATTTTTTTACTTGGAAACGTATAGGATTTGTTCTGGACTCACTGAGAGATGATAAATATGGATTCCTTTTTATGGTGATTTTTGAGCACAGAGATGTGCGCTAATGGTCAATTGGATATTTGCAAAATGATGCAACATTTAACAGATCAAAGTGCTGTGCTGTGCAAACACTAATTAATCCACCCATAAACCAGCCATAGGTGGTACGTAAGTAATAATAACCCAAGTTTATTAATGGCGAAACAGGTACAGAAAGACTTGGACCTTAACTTTTCAAAGTGTCCAAAAATTTTGGGTGCCCAGCTTGAGACATGTAGAGTGAAATCCTGGCCCCACTGAAGTCAATGGGAGTTTTGCCCTTGACTTCAATGGAGCCAAGATTTTCCCCCCAAGAGTCTCACTTTCAGAGATGCTGAAAACCTACAATCCTAAATAAAGTCAATGGGAACTTTTAGCCTTTGTTTGCCAGAAGCTGGAAGTGGACAACAGGGAATGGGTCACTTGATGATGGCCTGTTCTGTTCATTCTCTCTGGGGCACTTGGCATTGGCCACTGTCGGAAGACAGGATACTGCGCTGGATGGACCGTTGGTCTGACCCAGTCTGGCCGTTCTTATGTTATGTTAACTGCAGGTACACTAGTCCTCTGTAAACCAGGCCTAAAGTTTCTCAAGTTGGGCACTCAAAATGAGTGGATACATTTGAAAATATGAGTCTAAGTGACTTGCTCATGGTTACCCAGAAAGCCTGTAGCAGAGCTTGGAATAAAACCCAGAAGCTCCAGGGAAACAGAGCTTTGCTCAGACCTTTAGACCACTCAGCCTCTCTAGAAATCTAGGAAGTTGCTGATTGTTACTGTAAGGGTTTCACTGAATTTTGAATGTTGATAAGAAACAGGTGGGAATGTCAGTAGTTCATAGACCCTTGGAAAATGAGAACATCCTGCTTGTTATGCATTTGAATTCAGCCCACCATTTTCCCCCTCCATTAGGGAACTCTTATGTATTCTAGATTGCCTCTCCTAAAGATCTTGCATCCCGTGTAAATAGCCCTCTGCTCTGTAACAGGCTGAGTAATGGTGTAATCATCATTATAATAATGGTAGTGCCCAAAGGCCTCAGAGACCATCTCTTCTGGGATTTATTTTACTATCTCTTCTGGGATTAATCTGGTATCAGACCGCAATGTGCTGGCCAGATTGCTCTTGTCTTAATAGGATGGTGTTCTTCGCTTCTTGTCCCAAACTGTTGAGGCCGTGCTGTATGTTGTTAAATATATGCCATATTACATCCCAGAGGTGGCTCCCTTTCTTTGAGGGGTGAACTAATCCCAATATGTAAAGCTTCTAAAGCCTGTTGGGATCCTTCTGAATAGAGGGTGGTGTACATAAGATTATTAACATTAGTGCAGGTATAATGGGATCTATGCTTGTCAGTGCCTGTAGAATTTATAAAGGAAACTCATGAGAGTTCATGGGAAAACAGATTCTGTGATGGGTTTCTATAGAGGCTCCACTTTAGTTCAGTGTTCATTAGCTTGCTCATTATGTTAGTGTCACCTAATTTACTAACCCTACTATAGATCATACGTTGTGCATGGGAGGTATGCATACGTAGGGCATGTGTGGTTATATGGGTGTATGCCTATGTACAGCCTGGGTGTTTGTGTGTGTGTTAGGATGTGACAGCATTTGGTTATATATAGGCTGACAGTGTATTTTCGGTGTAGGTGTCAATTGATGGTCCCTTCTGGCCTTAAACTCTATGAATCTCTGTTTCCAGGTGAGCACGTCTGTTACATTAGGACTCTAACATTAACAGAGCTTAGTACTTACATGGTATTTTATATCTTCAGAGCACTTTACAAACATTAAGTCATGATCCTTGGGAGAGACTGTGCTGACCCCTCCTTAGCCTTCAGATTCCTCCAGCACTTGGCTTTTTTTTGAACCCCAGTCTCGCTTTTTGAATCTGTCCTGCCTTGTTTCCAATCAGTCTGAGAACCCCTCTTTATCCATGGGTTTTATCCCACAGAATGACGTCCTCAGTGTCTGATACAAATCGATCCCCCACCTCCAGCTGGGAGATGTGGAAGGAATTGCCATCACTAAAACCAGTGAGTCCTTAACTTTTGAAATGGGGAGCAAGAGGGTGAGTTGGGGACTAACAAGGCCATGAAAGAACCACAGCCTGCTCCATTTGATTTTCCAGAATAATTCTTTGCCTGTCATTAAGACCTTGTCTACACTTGTTGCAGTGTGTAGGGTATGCTGGAGCCTTTCCCCACTGTCTTCCGCTGCCAGAGCCTTTCCCTGCTGCCAGAGCCTTTCACTGCAGCGGGGCAAGGCTCCAGCAGCAGGGAGGCAGCCGGACACTAGACTGCTAAAAATAGCAGCATAGACAATGGAGGTGCTGTTTGGGGACGTGGAGAGCAATGTAGGGTATATACTCTAAGGTTCTGGCATGTCTTTACTCGTCTAAACAGTGCCTCACTGTCTACACAGCTATTGATGCCCGTACTTTGGGGGAGTGCAGTGTAGGTACTCTGCAAGCTGCCATAAATGTAGACATTGTCTAAGAGTGTCTTCCCTTTCAGGGTCTCAAAGCACTTTGCAGCTGATCCTTATGGCCCTCCTGGGAGGTGAGTGAGGAGCGTTAGCCCCCCTACACACAGGGTGTGAGAGACTTAGTCAAGGTCACACAGCGAGTCAGTGTCAGAGTCCAGAATCAAACCCAGCTCCCCCGGAATCCCAACCCTCCACACTAGGCACATGATCACACAGTCTGCATATCAGGCTTCCGA